AAAAGCATTTTTATTTAGTTTTTTTTAGTTACCTATAAATATATTTCAATGAAATCTTATCTGAATGAATTTATCTGAACACGAGATTATAATTTTTTCCCTAAAACATCGGGCGCAAAATATACCTTAAACAGTTTTGTTTATTTGTCACATATTTTTGTTGAGATTTTTAAAAATCAGAATTATTTTATGTAACCCCATTTTATTTACTGTAAAAAAGGTATATTAGTTCATTTCGCTAAAATATTGAGGAGTATTCTACTGCATTTCACTTTTTTGCTAATTTTGTAGCTAAATTTAAAAAATTTTAAGACTTTTTTATGGACTTTTGAATGTAGTACATATGACTAAATTATATTCACGGGTTTATAACCGAGTAGTTGATGTTTGAATGGAGGGTAAGTTGATCTAAATCATAAAAATTATTTAATTTCATTACAGATTTAGCAAAGAAGTTTAATTAGACTAAAATATACCCCTAAATACTCTCTCAAATCAGTTTATTTTCATCCTAGAAAGCTACCCTTGTACCCATCGCTTCAGTACTCCCTATATATGTATTTCATTCAATTGTACTATTCGTAATTATTTAGGACGTATGCCAAAAATTCTAATTAATATAATAGTGTCAATAGAAGAGCTATACTGAATTTAAAATTACAAATTTAGTTTCTCTTCTTCAAAGAGAAATAAAACCGTCATTCTTTTACAGAAGTGTAACGAATGATAGTGGGGGGGGGGGGGGGGGGGGGGGCGTTGGGGTGGTCACCCAGGGTCAAAAAGTTGGTGTCTAGGTCTTTTGGGGTTCGGACACATTATTTATTTGTTTTTCTGTCAAGTCGCCCTTAGAGTGTGAAATTTAATGCTCTTAATTTTATCCAAAAAGTAACACTTGAACTTGGCAAGTAAGACCAAGGCGCTCATTTTTGGGTCTCCATTATTTACACATTTTGGAAATTATATGTATACCTACTTCTTTTCTGCTGCCTAAAACTTTAAATCAAAATACTGGAATAAAACATACTTGTCAAAATTTTTATTTTTTAAATGGCACTTTGATTCTGAAAAATTACGCCTACAATACACTGTTAGGCCTAAGTTATACTCTTTAGTCAACAATAAATTTTATGATAGTGTTAGATAAATAACATATTTTATTATAAGAGCATAAACAAATATCATGACTATTGTATAAAATCCTATTTTTACCCGATATATACCTTTAACACCAAAGAAAGTAGATGATTTTACTGAAAGTAAAAAACCGAAGTACCTGGAACGAAAAAAGCGTCCTTGAGAGTACCTATATTTGTCACTGCAACTTTCCCGTGAATGGATCATCTAGGTGTATGCAATAAAAAATAATAGTACGTTACGTAAAACCTAATGCAATGCGAGCGCAAACAAAAAAAAATACACTTACATCTTTTTTCATTCAGTATAACTGTAAACGTAAACCAATAACGGTGCCAGGATCTCGACAGTCTTATCACTCAGATTTCAGATTACGATCAGTAAAAACTTTATCCACGCACAAACCGGCCACAAAAAGAACACAAATAGAGATACAAACTTGGCAAACGCAAAACTAACTCTAAAGTTGGTATTGGTTTCTCGTTCATGCAATGCATTAAGGAGAATGTTGTTGCTCCCACTATTTCCTTCTTACCTGTTTTACGTGCGTCCTCTTCTAACTCGTGCTTCGCACGTATGAACAGGGGGACGACGAACAATAAAGATAATTGACGACAAAATATATTGTTAAGTGGGTATATACGTGTGAATTTATTTAAATGATACTGCGGAAAATGTCAACGTTATCTGCAAAATTGGTTTAAAAAAAAGATATATACCTATCCATAATTTCAATTGTTTCTTTTTAATACAAAATAAGTGGTTAAAGCTGTACAGGTAAGAGATACTTTTTCACAAAAGCGCAGTGGGTATAAGTATTTCCCATCTCATTGTCAATTGAAGAACCAAGAGGTTAGCAGTACGTACCAGGTTCGGTCGCTGACACATCAACTGGGCATTGAAATATTTGAAAAAGTTGTTCCCATATTTATTGAGCCATACCCATATACATGTCTGGTCGCCCAGTTGAAGAACGAGCGCGCGGGCAAAGGCGGCACAAACACAGCCGCACTGGGCTACCTGGCCATAAATTCAGTTGTCAACAAACGGCCTAGCAGTGCAGTGCAGCAATGCGGAATTTGGTGTGATTCAGGTAATTTTAATTTATTATAGGCACCTTCTATTAGTCATTCACGGAACGGAAAAAAACGAAAACCATCAATATAGTAAAATTGTTTGAGGACAAATATTTACAATATGTTGGCGTAATGAACATATACAGGGTGTCCCGTTACTTGATGAGGTCAAAATAATATCAGTTCTTCATATAAATTTTTTTGATACGGCCCTTCGTTAACAAGTTACGGGCCCTCAAAGGTGAAAATTAAAGTTATTTTCATTTACAGCCTCAAAACTATTAACGTCAGCAAGATGCAAATTTGGTGATCGACAACACATGCGAACAGCTTGTTTTTGATGTAAGTGAAACTTCATTATGCCCTGAACGTCAGGGACGGACTATGCCCAATGGTTAACAACCCCGATTTTTTGCATAGATGACGATCGCAATCTGCCGGTATCAAAAATAAGTTCCCTGAAGAATTTGCCAACGATAATACCCCCTTCGTTCAACTCGGAAAAATTAACAGTTTAGGAAATATTTGTGATTTTATATCACAGTGCACATCGAGTGGCGCCTCCACCATTTTTTGTTTTTAATTTTCAGTTGGACATAATTATTACGTTAGACCCGTACTATATTTTCAAAAAAAAAATAGCCTAGAAAATCCTACTGTGTTAATATAATTTTCACTATCAAAATTTGACAAAGGGACGCCTATAAAACTCATTAAATTTTATTGCTAGGCGTTTTTATACATGTTCAACTGACTTCGGAAATACTTATACAATGTGACAGAAGTGTATAATTAAACCCCTTTCTCTCTTTTACTTTAAAAGAAAATGGTATAAGGCAAAATTAAATACTTCTATCACAAAAAAATTGGGTATAATTGGAAATATGTATTTACCACAACAGATTGGATCTATCTTTAATAAGCCGGATATGGCGAAAAGTATATCTCAGCGGTCCACTAAAACTCTTCCAAAATATAAGAAAAAGAAATTTATATATTTATAAACAAATCATGAGAAATAAATGTTTTTCGGAAATTAGTTCCTTAAATCTATAGTTTATTCTTCAAATTTAATTATAGCCGAGTTATATTTATTAATTTGATTCAACTTAATTTTTAAGCAATTCAGAGAAATAGAGGCTCTGTATTTGAGAATATATAATTCTACCATTTTGCAATTTCAGGTTATTCAACAGTGACAAGCAAACATCTGATCACAACTTCAAAAAGTTTGAGAACCACTGTTTTAGAGAAAGACGTACCCGTATTCATACTAGTTCCTCGAGGAACAAGGATTCCTTACTCCATATACCTTATGACATGCGGAATACGGAATAAGGAACGACTATGAATACAGGTATTGGTTGCCTGTGAACTAATATGCAACATAATATCTAATCTCAATCTTCTAACACGTTGAGCATACAGTATTCTTTCATCTATATTTTCCGTACTAAAAGCTTTATCTATATGTAAAAATATACAAAGTATTGTTTTACAATCGCAAGAAAATTTCCTACAACTTTAATCTATATTTTCTAAGGACAAAAACAGATGAGAGTAGAATGCTACAGGGTGACGTAAAACAAGAGAACGTATTATTGAATGTTGATTTTTGGTTTTGAAAAGAAAATTAAACAGGGTTTCATGAAGTGCAGACGCCAAATTTTACTTGGTGATAAAACTACTTGAAATAGGAAAAAAATTTCTGCAAACACGAATTGAGAAATGCTTAATTTCTACATTGTGTTTAATTTAACAAAAATATATTAGTAATGCCATTATATCTAGTTTGAAAAATTATCTATTCGCAAAATATGTATACATGTATTTATATTAATTTACTAATTTTAAGGTAAATACAAATTTTGGAAAAGGTAAACCTTTAGTTGAATAATAATTATTAAACTGGTTTCTGCATCATCAATTTAGACCTGATATTTCCTTGGTAGAGGTTGTGAATCTGAAGACGAAGTCCTCAGACCTGTATTTATGTTTGTTGTGTGTAATGATTTGTGAACACGATAAATATAGAAGTACATGTACTGGCCAGAGCTTAATCTCCTGATACAATTTCTTCTGAAGAGAATATGTCTCTTGAAACACTAAAAAGTTTAAACCGATGAAGTGGCCATCCACTCAGAAATTATTTATCCCCTGACAACTGCCATGGAAGCTTGCAAAACAACCTTGTTCATTGTTTTTTTAATAATTAGTTGAACCCTTGAAGTTATATTAAAACAATAAATATTGTGGCGTGGCCTGTAAATTTTTTTTCTTTTTCCGTTGAAGCTCATAGCTGTAATTTCTCTTGATGATTCGAAAATATAAACCGTGTAATTTTATACAAGAAAAACTTGAAGGTTTTTAAATCGCTAGAACTTGGTAATGAAGCAGTTTCAATATTTCCATTTGTGAATTAAACAGAAAAAAATAAAATAGGTACTAAATGAGTACTTTTTAAAATTTTTGTGATACCGTTGGACATGTTATCAAATCAACATCAATGGTGATATAAAATATAAAATTTTTTATTATAACAGACTAATGCAAGAAATTAAAATATGTCTTCAAAAACCCTATTTGGTTTTAATTGTAAATAACCTTCATTTTATATTGTCACATAGTTGTGAAAAACTAAACATGAAGTGATAATGTATTAGGTAAATGGTAACTATGTACTTAGAACTAAGTCCTTATTCATTACATAGACATGGTTTTTTAATTTTTTTTTAAATATACCATAATTTTATAAAGAATATGTAAGGGTATAATAATAAAAAAACTGACTAATAATAATATATGAGATATATTGATACAATATACCAGTATACTGGAGTGCAGTTTTAAACTTAAATAATAGATATCACAGTTAACGATTACATCATTTGTTTCTCTTTTTATTAAATAAATTTAAATATTTCCCCCTAGTCACTTCCTTTGACTCTTCCACACCTAATTGGTATGCAATGTCATGTAGTTCTTTTACTTTGGAAATGAGACCTGCTGTGGATAGAGATGCCAATTCTGAAAATATTTGTTATACCTATTACTCAAGGAGCTCTTAAGAAACAAGCTTGCTTATATACATAACAAAGAGTATAAGTATTGTTGTATGTAAGAGTCATACAAAGCGTACTGTAAATAATGGTACATGTTTCACAGGAATCTTTGTTGTGTGAAAATAAACCGATTTATTATGAATATATATTGTATATTATTATTATTATATATTATTATATTATTATGAATAAATAAGTGAATTATCTTAAAAACAAAAATATGAACGAATTTTTTTTTCTTTGAAATATATATGGACGCAAAATTGTATGAAGATAGCTCAATATAAATCAGTTTATTTTCACACAAAGTTAATCTAAAAGCATGTACCATTATGGGACACCTTATATACAGTAGGTAGTAGTATTTAAAAAGGAGAACCATTTAACATACGTGAAAAAATAAACAGTACCATACAAGAGAAATAGATCCGTAGACAATGGGAAAATTGAAAAGTCAACATGCTTAATTAACAAGATCTTAGTCAAATGGAAATAATAAACTGTATACGTTCCTAGTAATATTTTAAATAATTTTCCAACACAATTTAATTTTGTAATCCGTTTACAATTAAACATGGCATTTTGTTGAAAATCAGTAACTGTATTTCTTTTCATATAATCATGATCCCAAATTTATAGTTGACGCTTATAAGCTTCAAATAATTGTAATTGTATTTACTTACTGTATAAATTTTATTAAACTTAATGTGTCTAATAACTGATAGATTAAGATATTAAAACTCAAAAATGCCCAAGTGATACCTATCAGCATGTTAAATGCCGTTTATAAAAACATGGAACATGAATGTTGACATTTTTCATAATAACATTCATACGCATAACTAAACTTATTCAACTGTTGCATATAACACGTCACTATATTTCAAAATTGAGAGCTGGAGAGTATTTGCGCTTTGAGAAACAAATAGTTAATTAGTTATTACCAAATATACAGTGTGTGTATAATAAACAAATTTCATTTCGTCTTAGATTTATACATGGCAAATTCAAAGAGCAAGTAGCTCCAACATTAATGTCAGTGTAAAAATTATATTATTTACACAACGTCAAATACAACTGATTTGAATTCAATAAGTATAAAAATTGTACTTCTAGTAGAAGTTGAAAATATGAGTATAGTCATTATAAAAAGAATCAGTGTCAGGTGCTGATAAATAACTAAATTTCCAATTATAACTTACGGTGCAAATAATTCTGATCCTCTTGGCTCAGCTCCCTAGAATATGGTAACTTTGTTGTGCTCTGTGGTGTATGGAAACTGTTGATAAAGTCTGTCACTCCTGGAACTATTTTTTTTCCAGAGTTGCCATAAATTATTAATATAAATTATATACTTTCTACTTACTTTTCTCAGGCCATAACTCTGGAGATGTTCGATCCAGATTTTCCATACTCAATAAACTGTGTCTCAGTTCCTGCAAAGCCTGCTCTTCTTGGTCTGTAACAATAAAATCGATTACCCTTTTTTTTGACAGCTCCTGGTAGGTTAGCCCACTGCGATTCATTAAATTAAAATAATCTAGTAATGTCTACTAATCGCTTTTAAACTTTTGTTCATAACGCGAAAGCTTGAGTGTTTGGAAGATTTTGTAAAAAACTACTTAATATTGTTCAAAAATATTAAAAATTAGTTACCTTGTTCAATGCTCCCGGGTTTCGTGGACGCCATCTTGCAATAGTACCAATTTAACGGTTTTGAGAAAGTTCCCTAGATTTTTAAAATTTAAAAAGATCTACAGTTAAAAAATAAAATACAAGTAAGTAAAACATTAATCAATATTTTTTCTAGTACTGAAATTTTGTGATATTCGTCTTATGTCAGTTTTCTATTGTAAAATATTTTTCAACACTTCTAATAAATTTTAAAACGGAGATAACTTTTTGTAAAGTCATGTTTAAAGTACTTCCTAGGTGACATTTAATTTTCTCTGTTGGTAAAATCTATATCGAAAGTAACCTAAATATTGCGTTTGTCTCGTGACATATATCTAAAATATACGAAATATTGGTTTTTTGAAGAAAGAAAAATGTTTGTTATTTGTGCGGAAGTATGTTAAAAATACTCTTACATCGCAAGAATCAAGTTTAGGTGGGTATCTAAGCAATATATTTATAATCTAGTGATTGTTATGTTTTGTCACAATGTTTACTTTCTCGAATCAGACACTTCTTTCGGCGTATGAGTAATTGCAATTGATTATGATTACTAATTATATGTAATTCTATTGTCTTTTAGCGCAATGGGTCAAACATTATCAGAACCAGTAACAGCCAAAGACACCGCTTGCTGCCAAGATTCCACCTTTAGAGTGGGCTCTAGCTGTATGCAAGGATGGAGAATAAATATGGAAGATTCCCACACTCATATCCTGTCATTACCTGATGATCCAGGAACAGCGTTTTTTGCTGTCTATGATGGGCATGGAGGAGCCAAGATAGCGGAGTATGCCGGAAAACACTTGCATAAATACATCATAAACCGAAATGAGTATAAAGAAGGCAACATAGCGGATGCTATACGACAGGGATTTTTGGAGTTAGATGATGTTATGTTAGAAGAGGATAGCCTCAAGAATGAACCCTCAGGTACCACCGCTGTAACTATTATAATTAAAGGTGATAAACTTTACTGTGGTAATGTGGGAGATTCCCGAGCAGTGGCCAGTGTTAATGGTAAGGCTGAACCTTTGTCAAAAGATCATAAACCTAGTAACCAAGAGGAATATGATCGCATTACCGCGGCTGGCGGATGGGTCGATTGTAACAGAGTTAATGGAAATTTGGCCCTTTCTCGGGCACTTGGCGACTTTGTTTTTAAAAGAAATTCCGAAAAGGGCCCTGAGGAACAGATAGTAACAGGTTTGTTTTATTTGTTCGTTTTTATGCATTGACTTTTGCAGCTTATTATTGTGCAATAGTGATTGCATAATTTTACATATACCTAAGTACTTTATATTTCTTTTATGTGCTTCGGTTTACTTAAATATTTTATGCAAACTTAATAATTTAATATTGCTGTTTTGTATTAGAAACAGAGATTTATAGTTTTATTGTAACAAAAATTTGAACATTAATAATTTCTATGTGGATTATATTAATTTATCTGTTGTACATTTTAGAATTTGTTTTAAGATTGGTTTATATAAATTATTTTAACATAACCTGTACTTCCTGCTTCAACGGCTTGATGATGTCATTATGAAATGATCTATTTTAAAATTCATTAAAAAGTAGCTGAACTAATCACTTTATATATATATATACCTGAAGTTGAGTTACAATAAAAAAAATGTATATAAATATAATTTATCATATATAAATACATCTTTTATGTAACTTTTAGCTAATAATATATTTTTCAATTTTTGTATTATTTGTTAAAGAAGTATACTACATATTTTAAGTTGCCTTTTTGGAATATTTCGATTCCTCAAAAATATTAGTTAATTTTTACCATTTCTAATATAAATTAAAAGTACTTTTCTGACAAGTGAGGTTATGTTAAGTAGTAAAAGAACATGTTATTTATTCGGTGTATCCCTGCAGTTGTACACTTTTTGAATTATCATTTAAATTGGTATTGTCCTATTATATTACTTTGATTTATGTATCTTGAGGTTTGTGACATACTTATGAGTCACCAGTTATTTTTAGAAATTAGCATTCCATTTTTACGGTACTTATTAAATGATTTAATACAAAAGGCAGGTAAGTGTTTTTCATATATAAGCTGACACCTGTACCTTGATTATTTACTACATTGTTTGATTCTACAGATTATTATTTAAATACTTTCAAAATATTTAATGTTATCTAGATAAAACGAACTAAAAACAAAGTTAATTAAGTAGTATATAATAGTAATATTGTTAAACAAAAAATATACAGGTACAAGTTTTCAATGATTTAGGTATATATTTATTATTATTACTACATTTTAATATTTATCATTTTAAAACAACCATCGTTAAAGAAGCTAAGTGAAGTAATAATCCAGCTTTTTCCATTCTTTTTAAAAATTTGCAAAATTCCATTATAAAAAAAAAACAGTTGCACCATTATTGCTGTGAACTGTGACAAATCCAGATTTTTAATATATTTAAATAAATCTTTAAGTTATTTTGAGTCGTAAGTAAAAATCTTTCATACTAATTTCATAGACTGGTTTTTGTATGAACTTTTTGTTTTTTTTTTTTTTCATATTGTATGTACAACTTGGATGTGTTACTTATGAATAATTGAATCCACAAACGTTTGTTGCGCACAGAAAATAACAGCAATTTATATAAGTATAATAAAATTAAATGAGTATTTAATTTTAATGCTGGAATACTTGTATATATTAATCGTGTGCCGATTTATAGGTGTATAAGTACAGTAAGTAAAAAACAAAGAAGTTCAAACATTTTTTATTAAGTAGACCCTAAAAATGTGCTATAATTTTTTAGGTGTCAATTTGTAAAAAATTGTAGCAATTTTTTTACCTCAAATCGAAAGATACCATGTTATTTAGCATCTATCAGCTTAGCCTATTGTGAATAAATATTAACTGTAGAGGACGAAATGTAAATTGATCATACAAAAGTAAAAATTGTCCCCTTTCTTATAGTTAAGAAAAAATTAAATGAATAAAAATAGAATAAATCGAAATGAATTAAAATATGCTTGATATAGAACATAATTTTTAATATATCATAGGTACATGATTTAAACTTTTTTAATAAAATATATTTATTTTAGTTTTATCTCGGATCAGTTTATCTTAAATATTTTTACAATATTGTCGAATCTGTTCTTTCACATTCTGAACGTTCTCATAATTTTATCTTTGTTTTTTTAGCATAATATTTACTTTTTTCTGAATTCAACCTGATTATAAATTTATCAGTGTAAATTTGTTTAATATTCTTTCTGAAGTATCTGCCTATCAGTTTTAAATGTTTACTTTTGCTATCAATGTAAGAGTATTAAAGACACGAGTATTAAAGACTAGTGGCATACACATATGCTACTACCTTTGTATGATATATGACACACATATATACAGGGTGCTACCTAAGCAAGGGTTTCTAAAATATTTTTCTTTCTCCCTGTTGCAACACAAACTATCAAGAATGAAATGAAAATTTGTAAGCCAAAAACTAGCCCCCCACTGCAACCTTCTGGTCTATTGTGGCTCACTCCCAAAGTTATAACATTTCACCCAACAGGTTTAGGGTATGTTACTACCATATGATGTGACACGTTAGCGGCATCAAGTTTAACTAAAACTACCCACGTGGATATTGCAAAATAAACGTTTGTTTAACACAAAAGTCCCCATTACATCAAAACTTTACAAAACCAATACTGTTCAACCATAGTTATGCGTAGGAAGGAGTTGGGTCATGCCACCTAGATCACAAAGTCACATTTATGTAAAACCTTGAAGCTAGTGTTCTGTAATTTTTCAAAATTAACTGCACTTTTAATTTTTGCTTATAAACGCCTGTGGTACTACAGTCTACCGACAACATGCTGGTGCCGCCAGACGCTTAGAAGGGTCTTATTTTAGCATGGTTTTTGTCCCTTCACGACAGTTTGTTTCAGGTTCTTTGGAGCGTCTGCGGCACTCGTTTATGTCACGTGGGTGCTTATAAGTGTCCATTGGCATCAATCGCATTAAAACATTCTACTGTACAAAGTAAACAGAAGAGAATGAGACATACTTCGAATATAGCTCCCTTATGGCAAAATAAACCAATAAAACAAAATCCTTCAGTTAAAGTCTCGGTTGAAGTTAAAATTTGTCCACAAAACACAAAAATGGAATTTTCTTTCTTTTGTCAAAATATTTTACAGAATATTTTAATTGTTTCACTTTTCATCTAACATTCAACTTATTAATAGAGAAATAAATGTGAAATATTTACTTTAGGTTAGCTTTATGACATGAATATGAAATTTCTATTTCCGATTGACGAAATCCGAACAATTTAACCTCGTCAAATAACCAATTGTAAGTTAAATATTTTTCAGCTTACCCTGACGTTGAAGAGAGAACTTTAACTCCCGATTGGGAATTCATAGTGTTGGCATGTGATGGTATTTGGGATGTTATGAGTAACAAAGAAGTTATCTCTTATGTTCGAGAAAACATTGCCAACGGTCTAGAACCAGAGGAGATTTGTGAGAATCTTATGATGCGCTGCCTTGCGCCAGACTGTCAGATGGCCGGTTTGGGATGCGATAACATGACGGTTGTAATTGTTGGCCTGCTCCATGGTGATACTTACGAGAAACTTCAAGAAAAGTGTAAAAAGCCAGTTGAGGATGATGAGGGGGAAAAATTTAAGGAAGAGCTTACCGCTGAAGACTATTTCTAACTTACAAATTGTAAATAAATCGTATTGTGTTCTATTCTGTAAATAAAATTGTATATAATACTTTTTACATATTCAGGTCAATCTTTTAAAGTGTAATTGTTTGTAGATATAGCCGAGCGTGTTTTGTTTTTTTTTTTTACTATATTTACTAGGAAGCCAGTGGATTACAAATAAAATGAGATGAATCTCGAACACCTCAGGAAGATAGTGTCATCTTAACTAGTTCATTTTTTACATCAAAGATAAAACTGTAACAAATAACGATTCTTACAAGGTGGGACAAGTTTTAAACTGTTGAAGATCATCAATTTTAACACAAGGTCATACTTAAAAATAGTTTAAAGGTCAGTCACGTAAAATAGATTTAAGTCGGTACCATTTTATTAAACATTCAAACTTAACACTGAATAGCTTATCGAGAAACATTATAAAGCATTTCTTCTTCTGTTCGTCAATTCTGAAGGACGTAGAAGAAGTAGTATTTAATTTTTTGTAATGGTAGAATAATAGGCATTTTTTTGTTGTAGAAACTAGAATTTGTAGGAATATAACTTTAAATTAGCTTAGTAACAAGTATTTCAAAAATTTGAATTCAAACTACAAATTTTCTGTTTTTAGAGCCACTGTTATAAAAATGTAGACAGCATATTTTACACCCTATTCGATAATAAAAAAAATGTTATATTTTTTATGGGTTGAAAATTATTGACTATATTTTTATTTATGTATTTTTAGACGTGTTTGTGTGGTAGTGGGTATTTTCCAATTTTTCCTATGTCCTTATCTAATTTGGATCTCAAAAATTGGAGATAATAACATTTAATTTTGTCTTTTCTCTGGTTATTTGTGTATATTGTCACCTGTTAAAAAAACATAAATATATTAAACTTTTGCACCAAAAGCGAAATGTCACAATGAAAAACAAAAGAAAACAAATAATGTAGCACTAATCGCACCTTATTTAATTAACGTTTCAAAAAGCACCATTTTTTTAAATCGATATCCATGTTTCTTTTTAAAATAATCGAAGCGCGTGATATAATGATATATATTTTCTAATTTAAAATATTTGATGCAATTTTCATGTGTAATTATTGTTAATTATATAATTATTCATTAATAATGTTCGTAATTGTAGCCTGGTTGCCTAAAAATGAATCAAATTCAAGAAAACAATCCTTTTAGCACGAGCACTTTTTTAAATCAACTTTTTTCACAGGTGGCAAACGAGAAAAAAACAAAACGTAAGTTGCAAATAAATAACTTCGATATTTATTTTTGTCATCTAGGTTTATTATAACTATAACTAACAGTAATTAATTTGTATCAACATTAAATTGCAAATTTGTGTTAAACATTTTGAACAAATTTAAACAATTTGAACAAATGTAAAATCAGTTCACAATGGAAGAAAAATAATGTCACTTACTGACAATTTTTTTGTGATAAAAAGTACTTGATACGACAAGGAATTAACCTATGTACGCTATTGAATGTTAATTAAATAATAACAGAAGGCTTGAAAAATAATTATAGCTAATTTGTAGTACTAGTCATTAAAATTAAAAAAAAATATATTAAGGTGTCGTAATGAGGTTACTGATGAGTGTCCAAATACGAAAGGACCCCGCAACTATCCTTATGGAAAACCGATCCCGGTCGAATGGTACGGAACTTTGCCAAATGATAGTCCTCAATGTGTCGATAAAAAAGTCCATGGGACTTAGGTCTGAAAAACTACTGTACTGAAGTTATCAAATCCACGTGCTCGATGACCATCAAGTCCAATGATTTGCGGGCGAATAAAAGCAAATACTTCTTCAAAGTGACCAAGCTGGCTGTTTCTTGGTGAATTTTTGTGTGCTGAATGCGAGTCCGTGGTCAAAATAGCTGTATCATCCTTCAGTCTTCAGAAAATCGGTGAAGCACCTACTGAAGAACGATATAGCGAAACGTACTGCTTGAGCAACATCTTTTGTTTTTACGCATGCTGAACACTTATCCGTCATCAGCATATCTGCAGCATTGCTGTCTTCAGAAAATAGCTGAAGCACCTTCAGAAAACTTGACTTGATGATCATCGAGCACGTGGATTCGATAACTTCAGAAGGCTGTAGCTTCAGAACGGTAGTTTTTCGGACCTAGGTCCCATGGACTTTTTTCATCGACACCATTCGACCGGGACCGGTTTTCCATAAGGATAATTGCGTGGTCCTTTATTATGACAGTTATCATTTCTACACAACTGTTGTGCTACAGATACGCTAGTTTAATTTGTAATGTGCTTTGTATAATGTCTGGTATTGGTTTAATGATTACATAATTTCATATGAGACAGCTGCATTTCGCTAGTGACTAAACTAATTCTCATACATTTTTAATTTTTTCTGTTACATAATTTTTATTGTTTTATTCGTTTAAATATAGGAAAAAGTTGCCCTTTTGAAATAAGGAATAAATAAAATTCAATGTAGTAGATTTTTCATTTACAGAGTGTTCCACTTAAGACTGTAACATCCTTATAACTGTTAGTTTTTCGATTTAATGCATTTTTTTTTAAATATTGACAGAAAAAATTGACACATTAAGGCCACCTAAAAATTTTGACACAAATTTTTTGAAATTGCTCGTGTCGATTAAAAAAAAATTCAAATGAAAAGGTTCATAAAAATATTATTGCTGATTTTTTCTCGTTTATTAAAATATTTAACCGAAGTATGAAAATAAAAAAGAAAAAATTACTAATTCTTTTTAAATGAAAATTTGACTTTTTGGGTTTAACCAACATTTAACATTTTTTATCATTATACTATAAAAAAATTTCTATTTAAGGAGGGCGAATAAAAGTTGGTTATAAGTATCTTATTAAAACTTTTTTATTAATTTAAATTTTTATCAATATTTTTTTAATATAAAATTAAGAGAGAATTATTTACAGGCACATAATTAAAAATTACTATAATTAAACATAAAGAAAATGAAGCAACAGTTACTCATGTATACAGGGTGTCTCGAAATTAATGCTACCAAATTTGGTCATACATTCTTAAGACAAATTTAGGGAACCCGTATTTTTGCCAAGTAGCCCCTTCTTTCGGAGTTACAGCCCTCTGAAATACGCCCCTAAGACTAGTTTTTTTTTTATCCAGCACCCTGTTGTACGACATTCACTAAATTTGGTACACAGGGGTTTTATGACATGTGGAATCTAATAGTGCTACGCTTTTTGGTGGGGAGCCCCTTAACACACTTTTTCGTGAGCCCCCTTGTCTTTGTCTTAGGTCGCATATTTGAATTTCATAAAAATTAGTTCACTAGAAAGCCATTGAATTTAGGAACTTTTTGTCTTGAATCAAGATATGCATTCTATCGCATTTTAACATTTTTCTCGAAAACATTGCGTTCTACGAAAAAAGTACTATGGGACAAATAATTTCTAAATTTAATGCCTTTCTAGCAAACTAATAATTTTTTAGAAATTTAAATACGGGACCAAGTTTTTTTGGTTCCAAAGTCAAGGGGACCCAAGAAAAATTGTCTTAAGGGGATTCCCCGCCAAAAAGCGTAGCACTATCAGATTCCACGTCATAAAACCCCTGTGTACCAAATTTAGTAAATGTCGTACAACAGGGTTCTGAGATATAAAAAAAATACTAAGTGGCGGATTTCATGGGGCTGTAACTCCAAGAGAGGGGGCCACTTGGCGAAAATAAAAAATACGGGTTCCCTAAATTTGTCTTAAGAATTTGTTACCAAATTTTGTTGCATTAATTTCGGGACACCCTGTACATATATTTTATTCATGTATTTAATAATGTTTGGCAAACAATTTTTTTCCACTCTACATACTAAAGTCTTAAGCTTCATGTAATCATTTTCACATTTATGTCAGTTTTATATGATTTACATTATTTTAACAACGGAATACATCGTTTATTCAAACAGGATTGTAATGTCATCGTTGTAACAAACTGTACAAAGTTTATAGTTATTTTTCAATGTGACTGTAAAATTTATAATGAAATGTTATGTCACGTATTGTTATATTCCATCTCGATAATCTGAATTATCATTAATTTAGATAATATAATAGTTGCTTTTGTGACATGGTAATTTTAATTTTTGCAACTAAATGGATGCATAACGCGCATTTGTGTAATTTTGTTAGGGCCAGTATTTTGATTACTACACTAAGTAATTAAATTATCAATAAACGATACATACATTTACATTCTCAGTCTAATCATTTGATTGGATAACCGTGTCGTAATTCTCAAAATACTGACCTCTAATAATGAAAATTGGTAAAATTAACCAGATTTTCAGGTGCACTAGAATCAAATAACTGATTTAATATTACATTTTAAAATTATTTATATACAGGGTGTCGCGCTTAAATGTGATCATGGAGTGCTCGTCTGAAGATGTATCGAATTTGATGAAATTTGGTGATAAAACGTTTCAAGGGATGCTGAATGAGAATACGTAATTTGTTTTTTGGAAAAAAAGTGGTTAATAGCAATTAGCTGTTTTGACGTCAAACAATGCGTCCTAGTTAGCTGTGTATTGCATTAATAAAAACAGCAGTATCACAGATAGATAGAGTTCTTTTTACCCTACATTATATCAAAGAAATTTTTGAAATCGGCCAGAAAATAAAGAAGTTACAGGCTTGTATCACATTTAAGCGCGACGCCCTGTATACATAGGCTTTTTACTTTAGGAGGGCAGAAAGTCAATTTCCTGTTTTATTTTTAGACAGACCATAAACTAGATAAACAGTTTCTTACATAATTATTTCTAAATGGTCTTATATATATAACTTTTGCTTATAATTCTTAAATTTAGTAATAATGAAATTATTGTCACCTTTTTTAATCTCTAAATGCAGTATATTTCTATTTTAACTCCTGTGCGAAATTGTTTGAACTTTGACTGTAATAGGTACTATACTAAAATTCCTAGACCGATAAGTGCCACAATCTCCCATCATTTTGGCGCATATTCCCTATAACCAACCTTGAAACAATTAACATTTAGTATATTTTACAGGAAAAATTCCTTAAATATTAATCAATACTAGCTAAATATTAAAAAACGTAAGTAGCGAAATATTTAGAAATGTCAAACGTAAAGTAACATCTGTCAAACTGTCATTTTTGCTGTTATATTGATATTTTCCTGTTCATGAAGTGAAAAGCCTTTGTATTTCCTAGTTGTGATATTTATTCTGCGAAATATCATTACTCGTTTTTTGTCACAAAATTTTTTTTTAGAATGTACAAAAATGTCTTAATTTTAATGGAGTAGATTATATATTAAGGTCGTTTGTAATTTTTGTGCCATTGTTGGGATGCCATTTTAAAGTTGTTAGGTTTATTTGTATTTGCTGTCAATAAAAGCATAAAATGTGTAGTGAACTTTTTTAATTTAGTTCAATATGGATATATTTACAAAATCCGTACAAATTTAATTACTTTCTATGAACAATTAACAGTTGTGAATTTAATTTAGTTTGTGTACTTCAGGATGATCTATGTAATTTGGGAAACGCATTTTTCACACAAATGACGGGATAATTAAATTCTGAAACTGTTGTATTTTCAATCAGTCCCTCAAATGTAGACAAAATAATTTTATGTATATATTCATTCACATTGTTTGATGGTGCTTTCCCTAATTTCTTTTTTTTATCGGAAAGAGTCTTGTTTCGATGCTACGTGAAAATCCTTTTATTTCAAGAGTTGAATATCACTTTCCTCAAATCGTTGACTTTGATAGATGAAAAAATCAATCGTTGGTGTTACGCAAATTTTGAAGTCACTAAAAATATTTGTAAATTGTCACAGAAATGTGATTCATTCTGCAAAATAACTAGGTATGTTCATTTTGAAGAGAAATGTTTCAATATACTCTTCTCTAACTGATCCGTTTTTTGTGTCATGGCCATCTTCGAAAAGTGATTTTTAACTGTCAACATCTCGAAAAAGAAGTATGGAGAAAATGCCAAATGGAAAAATCTTACAACCAAATCAGGGATGTTTCTGAGAAAGAAAAAGTACCTGAATGTCACTATGTGGTGCGAATATATGACTTTTGTCTTACGTTTGAGTGACAATCACTGAAAATAACATTATTTTCAGAATTTAATTATTTTCAGTTGTTTTTAAGAAAAATGGACTTCCTAAAATATATTGAACACTACTACGTAATCACCGATGTCTATATAGGGTGTGTCAAAAATAGTTGACAACCACATAGGGGTAGAAAGAGGGTGGAATTCTGAGACAAAAAGTCCATTGACGTTTTTTTGTCAAACCCACCCTTAATTAGTTAGGAATTAAATAAGGTACCCAATCAGGAGCACGCATTAAGGGAAGCCGAGCGGAAGCGGGTCGAGGCACTTTCCCGATACCCTGCTCGACTCTACTGATCGTACCATGGTTCTCTTATAGCTTGACATTCCCTTAAAGCATGCTGCTGATTGGGTACATTATTTAATTCCTGATTAATAAAACTCCAAACGATTTTTCTTCTCAGAATTCCACCCTCTTTCTACTCCTATATGCCCATCAATTATTTTTTGATCATCTGGTATGTACTTGAATAAATATTTCATAAATTCAGAACTAAATTTTTCATTATATTTATCCATAATAAATTAATTTAAATTGAGAATAACTGTTTAATTATATTTATGAATACGCATAGTAGAAATAAAAGCAGTGGCTCTTAAGTATATTATAATCGGTAGGTGTAATATTGAAAAAATATGATTTGGACTTGGAGCTGAAAACGATACTGATATAATGAACGCTTCTATATTATAATAGCTTCATATAAAATTGTTTGGACCCAGTGTCCATTTTTCATTTGATATTTTATTCTAGTCGACAATTTTGATTCTTTAGATTAACTGTATTCTGTTCAGAACTTATTCCTCTCTGATTGTACTTTTAACAATTTAACAAATTATAACACTTAAAATTTTTTATGCGAAATACACATCAGATACAGTAAATAGAAATGTGTGCTATTTTGTTCATTGCTGCATAAATAACTTTTATATTTAACGATGTTTATGTTACCATAAGAACTAATAATAGGAATAATAATAAGATGAGTAGATGTAATTGTTGAAAGTAAGAACTATATGTAATAGTTTATTAATAAGAAACATATGTACCTATAATGATTAAGTAATACCTGTGTAAATGTTGTTAATGCTTAAATTTAAAATGAAAGAGTACAAAATTTCAGTGAAATAAGTTGTAAGGAAATAACTCGTTATCTTACATGTAATCTGCAGGATTCCTTTCCTATGTGTTAATTAGCAATTCAGGAGAGAACTATTTTATTCACTTAAGTCAATTACGATACCCAGTACGTATTTCTTTTTTTTTTTGGGATATTTGTTGTTTTAAAAATGTCCCAAAGGGCACAATTTGTTAAATAACAATATTACTGCTAGTAGTTGTATAGTTTGTAAAGCACATTGTATGTAGTAGATCTTAAGTAATTTCATATATAAATTTGTGATAGTCATTCTGCATATACATAGTTATTTTACTTAGACTGTAACAAATATACAAAATACCTTTTTGTTCTTGTATTTAACAGTATTTTTATAAGAGTAGTAAATAAATTTAATGTAAGTATAAAAATGTATAAAACACCGTAGCTTAACTACAGCTTTGGTAATTCTATTTCCATGTTGCTGAAGACTTTAATACGTGCAAATACTTAATTTCTTTTTAATGTATCTAAAAAATAATTTTCAATTTTGTTTTATATTTTAACAGCAAGTTACCCTTTGAAAATTTTTGTAATGTACTGTTGTATTGATAATAAATAGCCCCATTTTAATTAGTTGCAGTTTTTATTTTTTCATCCAAACAACCAATGGTCATAGTTTTTAAAAATTATGTTTCATTTTTAGCTCTCATATTTTTACTTTATTATAAATATATTAAGCTTTTTTCATTTGAGAGGATTTCTTTAGGAAAAAATCTCTTGAATTAGCTTATCATTTATAATAACGTAAAAATACAATATATAGGGTGTTATGAAATATTTAATAAAAATATATATATATATATA